AGGTAGCTGTCTGCAAGCGAAGAAGAAGGTCTCCCCGGAACCCAACCTTGCTGGCACCTTGACCTCAGACTTCCAGGACTGTGGGAAAACACGTCTCTGTTGTTTCAGACATCTAGTCTATGATACTTTGTTGTAGTAGCTCAGGTGGACTAATACGGAAGACCTGTCTCCCTACTTAATTAACAAATAACTTTATCAAGCTTCATAAAATATTAATAAAATGTGACCTTGTTATCTCATATTGGGGCCTTTCAAGGAAATGATATAAAATATGAAACATGCAATATGCCCGAAATGTTTCCAATAATGCCATTACAAGATCCCCCAAAACCAAAAATTTGGAAATAATATGAATTCCAAATATCATTGCAAATAGTTGATGAAATATTGCCTGGCCACGAAAAATGAAATTTTGGTATTGCTAGCAACATCAAAACACAAAATGTAAACATATGGGATTAATATATGTTTTTGGAAAGTCTAGATGGGAGAGCACAAACTTATTAATAGGCGCTGAAATTCTAAGTGATTGAAGAAGATTTCCCCATTATCGTTTGTTGTTTATGTAACTTGAATCGATCGTTCCATCTTTGCAGTCTGAACCCTGTTTCATCTCTGCCTCTAGGTCTTGTTCCATCCGCCGTGTGCCCTCGCCATTTCCTGTTTAGATGCCGGCCCAAACCCAATTCTCTAATGCAGTGACAGAGGTCATTTCCTCTAGTGGCAGAGGATCAAAGGTCAAGTTTAGGCCAACATTGAGGTTCTTGGGTTCCCCAAGAAAGAAATCGAGAGGAGACCCGAGAGAAAGTTCCAGACAGGTTTTATTAAGCTGAGGCTTGAGCATAAGGGGGCAGCACCGAGCGAAGGACGCTTGTCTGACCTGACCCTGGGGCTGCCTCTGCTTGGCTACCTTTTTTTTTTTTTTATATGTTTTTATTTTTAGGGAGAGAGAGAGAGAAACATCCATGTGAGAGAGAAACATGGATCGGCTGCCTCCTGCACGCCCCCTACTGGGATCAAGCCTGCAACCCAGGCATGTGCCCTGACCGGGAATGGAACTGGGACCTCTCAGTCCAGGGGAGGACACTCACTCCACTGAGCCGAGCTGGGCCTGGCTGCTTTGATGTGCTGGGGACAAGGTGGGCCTTTGCAAAAGGCAGGCTTGCGGAATTTTCCGTGTCAGGGTCCTGTGACTTCTTTTCCAGCTGTGTAGTCTGGTATGTCCTTGCCCCTGAGCAGGGGGACCGAGATGTGGACTGCTCATTCCCGCCACCCTAGGGAGTTTGTATAGAGGTTGGCTGAGCACGCGGCCACGGCTAAGCAGGTGCTAGAAGGGAGGTGAATTCAGCACCTGTGTGTTAGAAGTGCAAGGGTGGTGACATGTTTGCAGTTTTATCCCGGTTCCTTCTGACCACCTGACCTTGTTTTCCTGGACACCCAGTATTTTCTGTTTCTGGGCCAAGTCCCTTTGCTGTCTCAAAATTTTTCCCCGCTATGTGCGAACTCTGTGATTTCTGCCAGGTTGTTAAATGTCTCTAAGCTTTGATTTCCTTCTCTGTTTTGTTGAAACCCATAATGTTTGTAAAACAATAAACATGGCATCGGCAGATTTTGTTATTATTTTTTATGCCCACCGCCAATTTAAAGCCTTTGCCATCGCATGCTCGGACCACTGCAGTAAGTTCAGATTGATCATCCCGACTCCGTATTCTCCCGACTAGGCCATGCTGCTAGATCTTGGTGGAGTAATCCTCCTACAATAGGTTACCGCATCAGCGGGAAGTTTTCTGTGCCACTCAGTTACCCGTAGGCCCTGACTTTTAAGGACTCCATAGTAGTCTTTGTATATTGAATTTTTATACATATAAATATTCATATAAGCTCTTGTTATCTTTTCTGGCTGTTACGAACAAGAACATTGCTCTCATAATGTTTTGTTATATCGTTAAATTGCTCTATTGTTAAAGCCGCTGGTAATAGCTACCTGGTCGTATGAGCTCACTTTCGTTAATGGGGAGCTGCCGCATCCACCATTACAGTCAGGTTTGCTTAGTGTAATATTTTGCAAGCAATTTCCTGGTCATTTGGTGACCTTAGGTATTGCAAAAGCTCTACTGTTGTAAAACAATTACAATTGGCAAATGGAGCAGACACTGAATTACAATACTTCGTACTCATAAGTCTAGGCTGATGGCAACAATTTTGCCTGTCCTGGGGCTAGCGTTCCAGGGCCTGCCCAGCTCAGAGACAGTGCAACTCTGCTCACCGGAGGTGAAGGTGCCGCCATGAATCCAAATTTCAGGTTGAAACTGACGAAAAGAGGAAATCAATGTCTTTGCATTTGAATGTTTCAATCTTGGTGAGTTGGCAAAAGGAACGAGAACCGATTAGAGTGACGCATGGTAGATTTCGCACCTGAAGGAAAAGGATTTTTTGTTGTGCGTTTGTTTTTAGCAGCTTCAGTTATGCTAAAAATAAAACTCCTGAAAAGGGAACTTTCAAACTATGTGATAAAGAATTTACGAGCGCCTTCAATTCCTTCCCACTAATTATTATTAGTCTTGTGATCGGATGACAGAGACTGTGATCTCAGCCCCGTATCCATCATAGCACATTCAATAAATGCCGGAGCATCAAGTACTCTGGCATCTGGACTGGCTTCAAAGTGCATTCAATACCGCGGCTCCCAAGTGCATTAGATTTTATTAAAAGCATTCTGCTGCGACATCCACTCTTCCTAATCGGTTTAGGGGTAGCCCCCACCATTCAGGCAAGCCCTAATTGCATTTTCCCACAAATCTAGTTTGATTTATGGTTCCTCATTTGCCCTATATTGTTTACGAAAATAAATTGGAGTCAAATTCTTAAGACAGTAAATAAAATGTGCAGTAGCTGTACTACCAACATGGGACTTCCATAGGATTCTTAACAGTATTTTTACTTGTTTTTAAAAATCATTGAGTCAAGTGACATCCTTTCAGTATGATTTCCAGTAATATTGTCTTTATTACATTTCCAGAGGTCAGTTATATTTCACTGGATTTTTTAAAATGGATTTTTAGAATTACTTGGAATGTTGGAATGGATTGTGTGTAGAATATAAAAATAAAAAATAGTATGTCCTCCTATAAGGTTTAAATGGATGTACTTGTATTTAGAAGAGAAAAATAATATATATAATCTACAGATATACTGACAGAACATCTGAATAAATTAGGTAATGTCCCTGTTGCACTAACAGGTCTCACCTCTGACATATGAGTTATCTATAACAACTTTTGAAAGTCCAGTAGGCTTTTTAAAGAAATGTGTGTTCAGCCCTGGCCGGTCTGGCTCAGCGGTTAGAGCGTCGGCCTGCGGTCCTGAGAGACCCGGGTTCGGTTCCCGCTAAGGGCACGTACCTCGGTTGCAGTTTGTCCCCGGCCCTGGTTGGTCATGCAGGTGGCAACCACTCGATGTGTCCCTTTCACATCGATGTTTCTCTCTCTCTCTCTGTTCCTCTCTCTCCCTCCCACTCTACCTGAACAAAAAATGGAAAAGTGTCCTCGGGTGAGGATAAAAAAAAAAGAAATATGTGTTCATTCCTTGAAACGTTTGGACAGTCAGAACTTTGAGTTCAGAAGACTGGGGTGTGTTTAGGAAAAAGGAGAAAGAAAGTGACTGTAAGACGATACAAAGAACAGGGAGAAAGATGGAGAGTCGCCAGTACACACGAGGTCAGTTAAACGAGGGCGAAGCTGGCCGTCAGCAGCAGAAGTGATCATTGAGCCTCTGGAAATATCAGAAGGATGGTTAGCAGATGATGAGCAGACCAAAGATCTAAACATTGGTTGCAGCTGAATTCTTTCACATGAGGGATTGGGCCCCCAACACCCACCGTGTCAGTGTAGATTCCATGGTGGGGCGGGACTTTGCCTCAGCCAACAGTGGCGGGCTCCTCCCCTTTCCCCGCTGGGGAGCTGTCAGAGAAGGCCTTGTGGGGAGTCAGGAAATTCACCACTGCCCAGCCGCAAGGAGGCCACCCATTCCCGTCGGTGTGTGGGGAGCAGGAGCCGGGCATTCTTCCCTCTCAGCGAGCTGTCAGTCGATGCCCCACCTTCCCCCAGTGTGGACGAGGAGCTCCCTCGGGGGGTCAGCAGAGGCCAGGCGGGGTACCAGGACCCTACAGCAAACTGGCAGTGATGAGGTGGCACCCTCTCCAAATCTCTGCCCCAACGATGTCAGATTGAAACACCTACAGCAGAAGGTTTGAGATCCAGACACAGAAGATGCGTTTCAACAGAAAATAGTCACCCCACCAAGATGTACTCAATATGAATAACTCAATGTAAAATATTTCTTCTTTAATAAAAGTCTCAATTCGAGGGGTGGATGATTCTCATGTAATCTATTCTGATGCTACTTTCTCATCAGTTCTTCTTATCAGATGGGTGCTAAGCACACAGTAGACTGCCATTTTTCTTCTTAAATCGGCGTTTATCATTAGTAAATTATACATCACATTTTTGCAATTTTGTTGTTCATATCCTTTCTTGTTAATATTCTTAACATGAGACTATATCTCACCATTTTATGAATGTAGAAAGATTTAAAGGAGGTGTTTTAAATGTATTACTTCAGTATTCCACCAAACACATCAGACTGAGATTAGAATTTGCAATTATTAGGAAACTTGATGTTGAAACACTCTGAACTTCGATGCTTTTATTAAAAAATGTTTAAAACTGATGTTCAGGCTTTTCTTCCTTATAAAGTGATGTTTTAAAATGACGTTTTCTAGGAATGCTTTTTAAAGTAGCTTGAAATAAACAGTGATTGTAAAATAATTTTCTTCTCCAGATGCTTGTATCGGTGAGATTTTTCTTGTCCGTGATTAGTAATTTGGTCTTTATCACCCGCACCGATGCAAACTGATTTATGCCAACTGATACCAGTCTTTCCACTGTGCATTTTAAAAATCTAAAGTCTAAAAGCTGATTCCCGTTTTGTGTCCTTTGAAGGTGAGAGGCCCTCCCGCTGCAGGGGCCTTTAAGGAGAGACCCACCAAGCCTACAGCCTTTCGCAAGTTTTATGAGCGCGGAGACTTCCCCATTGCCCTTGAGCACGACTCGAAAGGAAACAAAATAGCCTGGAAGGTAAGTCAGGGCGCAGCTGGGGGAGCCGGCCCCCCAGCTGCGCTCCCGGTGCCCCGCCCTGCCAGACGGACTGGGCTGAGTGAGTGAGCCGGAGTGACCCCGCAGCAAGTGGAAGCTGGGGGTCAGCTCTTAGAGGAGGCCCCCCCGCGTCCGCTGTCCGCCTGGACTAACAGTTAAATTACAGCCTGCACGGAACACAATGACAGACCAGCTTTGCCTTAGAGAATTGCCCGGTGCCCAATTCATCTCTCTTTTTATGAGGACCTGGCAGCCCGGCCGGTTTCAGGCAGTCCATCAAGTGATGGAGCTGGTGGCCGGACACGGGGAGTAACAGCCATTTATCTCCCCGAAACGTCACCTTCCTGCAGGACACTTGCAAATGGAGGCTTTAATTACCCAAATGGATAGGTCACGATCGCCCGCGCCCTGGCCGCGCGGCGCGGAACACAGGAGGCCGGGCGGCCGGGGCTCTGTCCCCAGCACACGCCAGCCAGCTGACACGCGCCTGTCACAGGGCCACCGCCGCCCGAACCCTTCCAGCGCCGCCGCTTTTTTGACAAAAGGTTAATTGGCTTCAAAATAAATGTACTGCCGTATGACTTGGTTCTAATGTGGCCGTTGCTTTCTCAAAGGTGCACAGATGTTATTTGTAGAAACGTGTCCCTCCCCTGGCCCGAGAAGGCGGTACCTTTAAGCTGAAAAAGGGATGCGGCTCTCTCACCGGCTCCTGCTGTTTAATTATTTTTGTGACCGAGGACTTTGCTCAGGGTGATACTTGTCAGCTGGAAGGGCGTGAGGTCTAGAAAGAGAGAAGCAAGCATGGCACACGTGTGCATATCACATCAGGTTAAGGAACAGAAAAGGTTTTAGCCGAGTATCATTTAAATTAAGGGTCACAGGAGGATCTGAAAGTGAAGGGAGGAATTGTCTGTAATTGGTAACAGATACATTTACGTTAAAAGATACAATGATCAAGTTGAAGAATTCATTGAAGTATCTTAGATCCATTGAAATTAACCTCTTCCTCCCTTTATGGAAAAAGTAAAAGAGTTGTGTCCATTATTTCTAGTATGTGTGTGGCTGTTTTCACATGATTATCAAACATCTCTAAACCTTGAGCAGACACCCGATTGATACCCTGTTATCGAACTTTGAATTACTACAAATTATTTGGCAAGAAAAATCTGAAGGGGTCCTTGGTATTGAATTTTGTCATAAAATTTTTAGGTCGATGGATGATATTATTATCATAATTTTAATCATCTCTATTAAAATGTGAAATTTGTTATTTGAAAACATGCATGTTTTCGTCTTAGCATAAATACATATTTCTAACACTTTACTATGATTTGGGGATTTGTTTATATTTGATTAATTATGTGGTTTTTATGTCTGTTTATCTTATTTACTATTTCACACGATAACACAGTGGAGGTTCTTAAAACCAGTTTCCTTTTGAGGAAAAGAATATGCCATCTTTATAAAAAGTGAGTGGATTTGGTCTTATAAGTCATTATTGTACATAAAAATCACATCGATAAAAAGACTTTCTAGATTTTTTTTTTGACCTGTTCAAATAATCTTATGAGTAACTTTTAGAAATGGCAAGAGACTAGGAATAAATTCATCTTGAAAATAATATATGAGGAATCATTTTGCCTTATCCTCGCTAATCCAGCAGTCGGGAGGGAGGGAGATGGCTTTGTTTCCCGCTAGCTGTGTGGACGCTGCTAAGCCACCATGACCACAGCGCCGAATCGACCATCTACACGGCTAGCTGTGTGGACGCTGCTAAGCCACCATGACCGCAGCGCCGAATCGACCATCTACACGGCTAGCTGTGTGGACGCTGCTAAGCCACCACTGACCGCAGCGCCGAATCGACCATCTACACGGCTAGCTGTGTGGACGCTGCTAAGCCACCATGACCGCAGCGCCGAATCGACCATCTACACGGCTAGCTGTGTGGACGCTGCTAAGCCACCACTGACCGCAGCGCCGAATCGACCACCTACACGGCTAGCTGTGTGGACGCTGCTAAGCCACCACTGACCGCAGCGCCGAATCGACCACCTACACGGCTAGCTGTGTGGACGCTGCTAAGCCACCATGACCGCAGCGCCGAATCGACCACCTACACGGCTAGCTGTGTGGACGCTGCTAAGCCACCACTGACCGCAGCGCCGAATCGACCATCTACACGGCTAGCTGTGTGGACGCTGCTAAGCCACCATGACCGCAGCGCCGAATCGACCGCCTACTCGGCGGAACGAGGGGGAGCTGTGGATGTGCGGCTCCTGCTAGAATAACCGTGCACACGCAGAGAAACATCTTACCCCGTGTGGCCCACAGCCTTCTTTCCGGTGAAGCAGATCTAAACACATTTCCGATGCAGTCTTTCCATACTAAGATGAGACATTATCACGGTCGAGCATAGGCTCAACATTCATATCTATTCCCGGGAACGCTCCCTGGGGGCACCATCTGGTACTTGGTAGGCACGTGGGACTCTTCTTTGGGGTGCATTCCTAAGGAGGGGACCTACACACACAAAAGCACCCAACCAGCAAATGAACCCAAGCCCCTGTGATGTCCTTCCATGTGCGTGGACAGAGTGGGGCACGTGGTCAGGCAAACGCCTCCTCTTCACGTCGCACTGCATCCCTGGCTGAAGGCTCCTGAGTAGCTGTGCTTCCCCAAGAAAATACCGGTCCCCTCTCCACACTCCTTGCGACAGCCCCAGGACACCCAGGGAGTTTGTGAGTGCCTGAAATGGGGTGCACAATTAAGGGGTGAGGAGGTGCATTTCTTTGGCCAGAACGGCAGGAGGCCTGTGACTGACGTCCGGAGTCACTGCTCTGGGCCTTGGCGAAGGCTGACCAGCATCTCCGGCTCCTTCCCCTCCATGAAGCTGCCGGCGGACCCCGGCACAGATGTCACATTCCCCTTCTCCCCGTGCTGGATTAGCTGACCCATCACTGCCAACAAGACTCTGTGCTTGGGTCTCACAAACGACCAAATGCAGTCCTAAGACAGAAGGGAGACTTAGAGGTAAATGTCCACGCAGGCTTAGGTTCTCAGCCCACATCCTGAACCCACATCAGCTGAGTGCCCGCGGAAGCGGTCACGTGCTCCCGGTGCCGCCGGCCGCGCTGGCCCAGTGCCGCCACCGGGCAGCTCCAGGGCTTCCCCGCGGTGTCTGCGGGCCAGAGCGGGCCGGCCCCCCTCGGTCGCAGCGGCTCGCCTCTGCACGGACACGCCACGCCAGCCGTGCGCGGCCACTGGGCACTCGCTATGTGTCCAGTGAGACTGAGGAACCGCAAGTTTAATTTTAATTAATTTTAATGTAGATGGCCACATGCTCACCATACTAGACAGTGCTGCTCTCAATTAAGATAATGGCAGTAAAAAAAAAAAAAAAAGCCAGTCGGAATCTGCTTTCCGGCCGAAGGCGACAGCTAGGTGGGGATTGCTATGACAAAGGAACCAATAGACCCGATGCGTGCATTTTCATCACGGCTGTCTGCGCTTACCAAACGTGCCTTGCTGAATACGAGGACGTTTTGCAAAATATCCGTAGTGACATTTTCTATGTACTTGTCAATGGCAAGGTGGATGGATCTGACCTAGAATGTGAAATCCACCAGGCAAGCTCTGGCATCCTTTATTATTTATAATATTCATTTTCTAAATATATAGCAAAGAATGTGTTGATTAGCAGTGGTTAAAGCCATAAAATGCACCATAGTTGCTTTAAAACTTGTAACCTGCCCCGTTTTCTGCATGTTTTGACTCTGCTAATGCTCAGGAAACATGGCTTAATTCTGTCGGTGGCGTCTCCCCTACCCCGAGTACAGGCGGCAAAAATGACAGAGAGCCGACCATTCTGATGCCTGGTAAAGCAGCTAGGTCACCTTGGGACCAGTGGACACTTAAAAACTGTTTGTCTGCATCTCAAATGTCCACTCTCAGCTTTCTGCGCTCCTGCGATGTGACCCATACCCCTGCCTAGGCAGAAGTGGTCCTTCCCGTGGGCACCCTGGAGGAAGAAGACATGTCACACAGACTTGCAAAATGTTCTGAGCGTAGTCGCCACCTATGCTGCTCGGAGGAGGAGCGAAGGGGGGCATACGTGTAGGAGGTGGTCCTTCCCTGGAGAGGAGTTTTAAATTGCACTAAAACCCAACATTATAGCATGAGTCATAGGGGATATGAACTTATGTGGGAGTTTATACTGCTTTTCTGTAAACTTTCCTCTCCCTCCGCCCCACCCACCAATCAGTTTAAAACAGGCTTCAGGTCTTTGATGCTCCTTCCCCTCCCCTTCCTCTCTGTCCTCTGGTTCTGCTTCCTCCTTTCCATCACCTTCCTCTCCGGCCCCTGCCTCCTCTCCCCTTCCCTTTCTCCTTTTCCTCTTCTGGTTACTTCTGGGAATCCGTGTTTCCCCCTCTAGCTTTTCCAGGGCCGATACCAGAGCAGGTGCCCACCCGAGTTTTCTGTCTTGGGCAGAGATCTAAAGCTGTGTGGTGGAGTCACGCAGTGAACTTGAAACCATCGTGGTTACTGACACAGTTAATGAACGCAGATATGAATCACAGGCAGCACTGGGAAAATCGCCGCTTCCTGTAAATTGCGCTTCTGAGCCATTGTTTTAAAATAGTACCCGCATACACATTGTTTTAAAATAACTTCTATACAGACCTTGGGAGGAAGAGCCGGAGAAAATTAGTCACGTTGGATTTTCAAAAATAACTAAACAGAATTATAAACTATTCATTTATTCTGGAGATGAAAACAGCTGCAACTACACTAAAATGTCTCTAAATTCTTGCCATTTCGAGGCATGTTGATGGAGCAGATGCTGCTAGAAATCACCTTTCTCCCTCTGTCCGCGACACCGTGATACGTGACGGACTGTGAGGTGCACTAAGACGGACCTGTTTTCCACTAAGTTTCTGATGACTATACATAGGATGTCCCAAATATTAGAGAGGTTTGGG